GGGGTGTTTTGGCGGGGGCGGGGATCGCGTAAGCCCCGCGGCGGTTGTCCGGGGGTGAAACCCCTACCCCGGCTTGGGCCCCGGGGATCCCCGCGTGACAACGCTGTTTGGGGCCAAGACTAGCCCCGAAGTGTGTTTTGGTATTGAAACACCAAAAACACTTTCGCATATGATGTATTAAATACTGAAAGCACTTCGAGAAATGATGTGTTAAACACCGAAATTCTGAAGTGCATTTTCGGTAACCAAACATCGAAACCACTTCGGGATATGATGTATTAAACACCGAAATCCTGAAGTGTTTTTTTAGTACCGAAACGCTGAAAGCACTTCAGGATATGATATACTAGATGGTCGAAAATCGACGAAGTTAAACACCGAAATCCTGAAGTGCGTTTCCGGTACCAAAACATCGAAAGCACTTCGGGATATAATGTTAGTAGATGATAGGAAATCGACTTAGTTAAACAAAGAAATCCCGAAGTGCGTGATATACTAGATGATACAAAATCGACTTAGTTAAACATCGAAATCCCGAAGTCCGTTTTTGGTATCGAAGCACCGAAAACACTTCGGGATATGATATACTAGATCGTAGAAAACCAGCTAAGTTAAACACCGAAATCCCGAAGCGTGTTTTCGGTACCGAAACACCGAAAACACTTCGGGATATAATGTTACTAGATGATAGAAAATCGACTAAGTTAAACACCGAAACCCCGAAGTGCATTTTCGGTACCGAAACACCGAAAACACTTCGGGATATAATGTTAGTAGATGATAGAAAGTCGACTGAGTTAAACACCGAAATCACGAAGTACGTTTCCGACACCGAAACACCGAAAGCACTTCGGGATATAATGTTAGTAGATGATAGAAAATCAACTAAGTTAAACACCAAAATCCCGGAGTGCGTTTCGGACACCGAAACACGGAAAGAACTTCGGGATATGATATACTAGATGAAAGAAAATTGACTAAGTTAAACACCGAAATCCTGAAGTGCGTTTTCGGTACCGAAACACCGAAAACACTTCGGGATATGATATACCAGATGGTAGAAAATCGACTACGTTAAATACTGAAATCCCGAAGTGCGTTTTGGGTACCGAAACAACAAAAACACTTTGGGATATAATGTGAGTAGATGATAGAAAATTGACTAAGTTAAACACCGAAGTGTATTTTCATGAAAATGAAGAATTAACCTTCAGTGTACCACATATAAGACAGTTTTCGATATAGATTCGATGAAATATATAACCTCCATTAACCATCTCTCCTCCTCCTCCTACTCTATCACGATCGTCTTCCTCCCTCCTCCTCCTCCCATCGTGATCTTTTTCCTCCTCCTCCTCCTCCTCTTTAGGAGGTCTTCTTCCTCATCCTACTCCCACAACCTATCTTGCTCCTCCTCCTCCTCCTCCTGCCGATTTTTTCCTCCCTGTGCTCCCACAGTCGATCTTTCTCCTCCTCCTCCTCCTCCTCCTCCTCCTCCTCCTCTTCCTACTCCATCGTGATCTTCTTCCATCCTCCTCCTCCTCCTCTCATCACCATGTTTGTTTTTCCTTCTCCTCCTCCCATCACAATTTTTTTTTTCCTTTTCCTCCTCCTCCTCATCCTCCACCTCCTCCTCCAACCGATCTTCTTCCTCCTACTGATCCCACAACCAATGTTTTTCCTCCTACTACTACTCCACTGCGATCTTCTTCATCCCTCCTCCTCCCATCACGACATTCCTCCTCCTACTACTACTCCTATTCCTCAAGCCGATCTTCTTTCTGGTCCTGCTCCCATAACCTATCGTTCTCCTCCTCCTGAATCGCAATCTTCTTCCTCCCTCCCCCTCCTCTTCCCATCGCGATCTTCCTCCTCCTCCTCCTCCTCCTCCTCCTCCTCCTCCTCCTCCCAATTCGATCTTCGTCCTCCTCCTTTTCCTCCTCCTCTTTCCCATCGCGATCTTCTTCCTCCTCTTTCATCGCCACACCAGGTTTTTTTTTTTTTTTTAATGGTCTTGGAATCGTTATAACGGTTACGTATGTTTGTCGGCTATGGAGGAGGAGGAGGAGGAGGAAGAACAAGATCGCGATGGGTAGGAGGAGGACGAAGAAGAGGTTGATTGCGAGGAAGAGGAGGGCAAGGAGGAGGAGCGGCAGAAAGAAGATGGCGATGGGGAAGAAGGAGAGGAGGAAGGAGTAGGAAGAGGAGAAAGAGGAAGAAGATCACGATGGAGAGGAGAAAGAAGATGACGAGGAGGAGGAGGAGGATGAGAAAGATCGTGACGCAGAGGAGGCGGACGAGGAGAAAGAAGATGGCAATGGGGAGGAGAAGGAGTAGGAGGAAGATGGCGATGATGATGAGGAGGAGGAAGATGGCAATGGGGAGAAGGAGGAGGAAGATGGCGATGAGTATGACGAGGAGGATGATGACGATGAGGAGTAGGAGGAGGAGGAGGATGGTGATGATGAGGAGGAAGATGGCGATGGGGAGGAGGAGGGGGAGGAGGAGGAGGAGGAGGAGGAGGAGGATGATGGCAATGAGGAGGAGTAGGAGGAAAATGGCGATGGGGGGAAGGAGAAAGACCACACTCCCCATTGTCGTCTTCGTCCTCCTCTCCCCATCGCCATCCTCCTCCTCCTCCTCCCCATCGCCATCCTCCTCCTCCTCCTCCTCCTCCTCTTTCCCATCGTGATTTTCTTCCTCCTCTTTCATCTCCACACCGTCTTTTTTTTTTTTCTTTTCCAGTTTTGGAACTGTTACATATGTTTGTCAGCTATGGGAGGAGGAGGAGGAACAAAATGGGGATGGGAACGAGCAATAGGAGGAGGAGGACGACGAAGAAGATTGCGATCGTATTTCTCCTCGTCCTCCCACTCCTCCAACTCCTTGTCCTCATCCTCCTCCTTCCCATCCCGATCTTGTTCCTTCTCCTCCTCCTCCTCTTTCCCCTTGCGATCTTCTTCCTCCTCTTCCATCGCCACGTCGCCTTTTTTTTTTTTTTTGGCTTTGGAATCATTATATATGTTCATCGGTGATGAGAGTAGTAGTAGGAGGAGGAGAGGGCAAGGGAGGAACAAGATCACGATGGGTAGGAGGACGAGGAGGAGGATGAGGAGGAGGAAGATGACAATCAGGAGGAAGAGGAGGAGGGGGGCAAGAAGGACGAGGACTCGAGGAGGAAGATGGCGATGATGAAAAGTGGAGGAGGAGGAGGAGGAGGAGGAGAAGGGAGAGTCTTTGGCTATGGGCGAAGGAGGAGGAGGAGGAAGAAGATGGCGATGAGGAAGGATGAGAGGAGGAAGGAGGAGGACGATGAGGAGAGAGAGAAAAAACATCGTGATGGAGGACGAGAAAGATGAGGAGGAGGAGGATGAGGAGGATGGAGTTAAGGAGGAGGAGGAGGAGGAAGATGTCAATGAGGAGGAGGAGGAGGAAGATGGCGATGGTGAGGAAGAGGATGGCAATGGGGAGGAGGAGGAGGAAGATGGCGATGGGGAGGAAGAGGATGGCGATGGGAAGGAGGAGGACGAAGATGGCAATGAGTATGACGAGGAGGAGGAGGAGGAATATGGCGATGAGGAGGAGGAGGAAGATGTCAATGAGGAGGAGGAGGACGAGGAGGAGGAGGAAGATGGCGATGAGTATGAGGAAAAGGAGGAGGAGGGGGAGGAGGAGGAGAAAGGGGAGAAAGATCGGCTATGGGAGGAGGAGGAGGAGGAAGAAAATGGCGATGGAGAAGGAGGAGTAGAGGCAGGAGGAGGAAGAGGAGGAGGAGAAAGAGGAAGAAAATCACGATGGAGGAGGAGACAGAAGATGAGGAGGAGGGGGAGGATGGCAATGATGATGATGATGATGATGATGAGGAGGAGGAGGAGGTGGGGGAGGAGGGGGAGGAGGAGGAGGAACATGACGATGAGGAGGAGGA